GCATGGAAGACAGCAAATGTAGTCCCAATCTTTAAAAAAGGAGACAGACATGAAGCATTAAACTACAGACCAGTGTCACTGACATGTATAGTATGCAAAATCATGGAGAAGATTATCAGGAGAAGAGTGGTGGAACACCTAGAAAGGAATGATCTCATCAACAGCAGCCAACATGGTTTCAGGGACGGGAAATCTGTGTCACAAACCTACTGGAGTTCTATGACATGGTGACAGCAGTAAGACAAGAGAGAGAGGGATGGGGGGATTGCATTTTCTTGGACTGCAAGAAGGCGTTTGACACAGTTCCACACAAGAGTTTGGGTGCAAAAACTGGAGGACCAAGCAGGGATAACAGGGAAGGCACTACAATGGATCAGGAATACTTGTCAGGGGAGACAGCAGCGAGTCATGGTACGTGGCGAGGTGTCAGAGTGGGCACCTGTGACCAGCGGGGTCCCGCAGGGGTCAGTCCTAGGACCAGTGCTGTTTCTGGTATTTGTGAACGACATAAACGGAAGGAATAGACTCTGAGGTGTCCCTGTTTGCAGATGACGTGAAGTTGATGAGAAGAATTCACTCGATCGAAGACCAGGCAGAACTACAAAGGGATCTAGACAGGCTGCAGACCTGGTCCAGCAATTGGCTCCTGGAGTTCAATCCCACCAAGTGCAAAGTCATGAAGATTGGGGAAGGGCAAAGAAGGCCGCAGACGGAGTACAGTCTAGGGGGTCAGAGACTACAAACCTCACTCAAGGAAAAAGATCTTGGGGTGAGTATAACACCAGGCACATCTCCTGAAGCGCACATCAACCAAATAACTGCTGCAGCATATGGGCGCCCAGCAAACCTCAGAACAGCATTCCGACATCTTAATAAGGTACATACTCCAATATGGTACATTCCTGTACCATATTGGAGTATGCGGCACCAGTTTGGAACCCACACCTAGCCAAGCACGTGAAGAAACTAGAGAAAGTGCAAAGGTTTGCAACAAGACTAGTCTCAGAGCTAAGAGGTATGTCCTACGAGGAGAGGTTAAGGGAAATCAACCTGACGAACTGGAGGACAGAGAGATAGGGGGGACATGATAACGACATACAAAATACTGAGAGGAATTGACAAGGTGGACAAAGACAGGATGTTCCAGAGATTGGACACAGTAACAAGGGGACACAATTGGAAGCTGAAGACACAGATGAATCACAGGGATGTTAGGAAGTATTTCTTCAGCCACAGAGTAGTCAGTAAGTGGAATAGTTTGGGAAGCGATGTAGTGGAGGCAGGATCCATACATACCTTTAAGCAGAGGTATGATAAAGCTCACGGCTCAGGGAGAGTGACCTAGTAGCGATCAGTGAAGAGGCGGGGCCAGGAGCTCGGACTCGACCCCCGCAACCTCAACTAGGTGAGTACAACTAGGTGAGTACACACACACACACACACAATAGGAGCACAGTAAACAAGTGATATCACAATATGCAAAATAAAGACTGTGTGAGAAAAATAGTGAAATTCCTACAGGTTTCGTGATTTTTCACATTATTAAGGTTTCTTGCATAATATATATATATATATATATATATATATATATATATATATATATTATATATATATATATATATATATATATATAATATTATATAGATATTTATTTATTTATTTATTATTATTATTATCACACTGGCCGTTTCCCCAAACCAAAGGGCAGGGTGGCCCGAAAAAGAAAAACTTTCACCATTATTCACTCCATCACTGTCTTGCCAGAAGGGTGCTTTACACTACAGTTTTTTAAACTGCAACATTAACACCCCTCCTTCAGAGTGCAGGCACTGTACTTCCCATCTCCAGGACTCAAGTTCGGCCGGGCCGGTTTCCCCTGAATCCCTTCATAAATTTTACTTTGCTCACACTCCAACAGCACGTCAAGTATTAAAACTATTTGTCTCCATTCACTCCTATCAAACACGCTCACGCATGCCTGCTGGAAGTCCAAGCCCCTCGCACACAAAACCTCCTTTACCCCCTCCCTCCAACCTTTCCTAGGCCGACCCCTTCCCCGCCTTCCTTCCACTACAGACTGATACACTCTTGAAGTCATTCTGTTTCGCTCCATTCTCTCTACATGTCCGAACCACCTCAACAACCCTTCCTCAGCCTCTGGACAACAGTTTTGGTAATCCCGCCCCCTCCTCCTAACTTCCAAACTACGAATTCTCTGCATTATATTCACACCACACATTGCCCTCAGACATGACATCTCCACTGCCTCCAGCCTTCTCCTCGCTGCAACATTCATCACCCACGCTTCACACCCATATAAGAGCGTTGGTAAAACTATACTCTCATACATTCCCCTCTTTGCCTCCAAGGACAAAGTTCTTTGTCTCCACAGACTCCTAAGAGCACCACTCACTCTTTTTCCCTCATCAATTCTATGATTCACCTCATCTTTCATAGACCCATCCGCTGACACGTCCACTCCCAAATATCTGAATACGTTTCACCTCCTCCATACTCTCTCCCTCCAATCTGATATCCAATCTTTCATCACCTAATTTTTTTTGTTATCCTCATAACCTTACTCTTTCCTGTATTCACCTTTAATTTTCTTCTTTTGCACACCCTACCAAATTCATCCACCAATCTCTGCAACTTCTCTTCAGAATCTCCCAAGAGCACAGTGTCATCAGCAAAGAGCAGCTGTGACAACTCCCACTTTGTGTGTGATTCTTTATCTTTTAAACTCCACGCCTCTTGCCAAGACCCTCGCATTTACTTCTCTTACAACCCCATCTATAAATATATTAAACAACCACGGTGACATCACACATCCTTGTCTAAGGCCTACTTTTACTGGGAAAAAAATTCCCTCTTTCCTACATACTCTAACTTGAGCCTCACTATCCTCGTAAAAACTTTTCACAGCTTTCAGTAACCTACCTCCTGTACCATACACCTGCAACATCTGCCACATTGGCCCCCCTATCCACCCTGTCATATGCCTTTTCCAAATCCATAAATGCCACAAAGACCTCTTTAGCCTTATCTAAATACTGTTCACTTATATGTTTCACTGTAAACACCTGGTCCACACACCCCCTACCTTTCCTAAAGCCTCCTTGTTCATCTGCTATCCTATTCTCCGTCTTACTCTTAATTCTTTCAATTATAACTCTACTATACACTTTACCAGGTATACTCAACAGACTTATCCCCCTATAATTTTTGCACTCTCTTTTATCCCCTTTGCCTTTATAAAAAGGGAAAAACTATGCATGCTCTCTGCCAATCCCTAGGTACCTTACCCTCTTCCATACATTTATTAAATAATTGCACCAACCACTCCAAAACTATATCCCCACCTGCTTTTAACATTTCTATTTTTATCCCATCAATCCCGGCTGCCTTACCCCCTTTCATTTTACCTACTCCCTCACGAACTTTCCCCACACTCACAACTGGCTCTTCCTCACTCCTACAAGATGTTATTCCCTCCTTGCCCTATACACGTAATCACAGCTTCCCTATCTTCATCTACATTTAACAATTCCTCAAAATATTCCCTCCATCTTCCCATACCTCTAACTCTCCATTTAATAACTCTCCTCTCCTATTTTTTACTGACAAATCCATTTGTTCTCTAGGCTTTCTTAACTTGTTAATCTCACTCCAAAACTTTTTCTTATTTTCAACAAAATTTGTTGATAACATCTCACCCACTCTCTCATTTGCTCTCTTTTTACATTGCTTCACCACTCTCTTAACCTCTCTCTTTTTCTCCATATACTCTTCCCTCCTTGCATCACTTCTACTTTGTAAAAACTTCTCATATGCTAACTTTTTCTCCCTTATACTCTCTTTACATCATCATTCCAACCAATCGCTCCTCTTCCCTCCTTCACACACTATCCTGTAACCACAAACTTCTGCTGAACACTCTAACACTACATTTTTAAACCTACCCCATACCTCTTCGACCCCATTGCCTATGCTCTAATTAGCCCATCTATCCTCCAATAGCTGTTTATATCTTACCCTAACTGCCTCCTCTTTTAGTTTATAAACCTTCACCTCTCTCTTCCCTGATGCTTCTATTCTCCTTGTATCCCATCTACCTTTTACTCTCAGTGTAGCTACAACTAGAAAGTGATCTGATATATCTGTGGCCCCTCTATAAACATGTACATCCTGAAGCCCTACTCAACAGTCTTTTATCTACCAATACATAATCCAACAAACTACTGTCATTTCGCCCTACATCATATCTTGTATACTTATTTATCCTCTTTTTCTTAAAATATGTATTACCTATAACTAAACCCCTTTCTATACAAAGTTCAATCAAAGGGCTCCCATTATCATTTACACCTGGCACCCCAAACTTACCTACCACACCCTCTCTAAAAGTTTCTCCTACTTTAGCATTCAGGTCCCCTACCACAATTACTCTCTCACTTGGTTCAAAGGCTCCTATACATTCACTTAACATCTCCCAAAATCTCTCTCTCTCCTCTGCATTCCTCTCTTCTCCAGGTGCATACACGCTTATTATATGTCGTGCCGAATAGGCAGAACTTGCGATCTTGGCTTAAATAGCAACGCTCATCTTGCCATATAGGACAAGTGAAAATTTGTGTATGCAATAATTTCGCCAAATTCATTCTGAACCTAACTAAAAATATATTTCACTTTGTTTGTTTAGTATTAAATTACTGTAAACAAATCTAAAATATATTTAGTTGGGTTAGGCTAAAATAAATTGTTCTTGTTATAATAAGGTTAGGTAAGTTTTCTAAGTTCCTTTTGGTGCAAAATTATAAATTTTTACATCAACATTAATGAAAAAAATATATCTTTAAACGTGTAAGAGAAAATTTTAGAAAGGACTTAATTTTAAATGAGTTCTTGCTAATTGACCAGTTTTACATATTCGGCACGACATATATATATATATATATATATATATATATATATATATATATAAATCACATCACTTCAGTTTCAACATTTGTGTTTCTTATTATTTGCCATATTTTGAGACAACTGGACAGGTAGTGCACGTCATCCACAGTTCGATCGAGGAAAGTGTCAAATGATCGAGTGTCTGGTTACCAGTGAGCCAGGCGAAGCCTCGCTCGGTCACGTTGCCGCTGAGACTTATTTGTTCCTCAGCTGCCGTGATGTTGTTGGCCTCGCACTCACTCGTAGGGTTGAAGAATGGCTTACAGTTCTGTGACGAGTTGTATGCCAGAGCACGATTTTCAAACGGAGCATTCCACCAGTTACCCCCGTTACCTCCAACGTAACTTCCAACGGTGAGCATGCCGCTGACAGAGCTCACCGAGCTAAATAATGATTCTGCTTTACTGTCTCCGATGTAGCGAAAGAAGAGTTTGAGTTGCAATGGCTCTGGTGGGGTGTTTCGTGGAGACGAGTCGCCCGATTTCCACAACAGTTGCCAATTGTTATCACAATGAACCTCTAAGACACTGGTCAGGTCGAATGACCAGATGAGGGCTGGACCTTTGACTTTGTTGGGTATCTGCCAGCAAGTGTTGGGCGCAGTGGTCGCAGTACTCACCCCCAGCAGAACTGACGACCACACTTCTCACAGCCGCTGGCCTGGTAGCACCTGGAGTAGCAAGTGGGAGGAGATATACTCTGCCCATCAAATCTCTCATAGTAGAAATAACCTGAAAGTATTATTTGTTTTCATAAATGTCATAATATAATATTAAAAAAAGAGTGGTTCATATACACCAAAAGAAGAGCTACCATAAACATATAGTATCTGTCGTGGCTAAAAGAGTTTAATTATACACACACATACACAAATATTATTTTTTTCCATGATACGTAAAGTTTTTATTGGTAAAAAAAAACCTCGAGTCATCAATGACTGCATCACGACCCACTTTAAAGATCTAAGAGGGCCAGTGGAAACCTGATTCTATAAATATTCTGGCCGTGAAGTCACATGTTCCTGTCCCTGACTTAGGTTACATGACTTATCTTGCGTTATATAACCTGTATTTATTAATTAAATTCATCTCTTTTACTTTCTATTTCTCTGAAAAGAGCCTTGGTGGAAGGTACTCAGGGATTACCACTGAAAATCTTTATTTAAGTGTTTAAGCACTTTTTTTTGGTGACCATCTTGGTATACAACTGACAAGAAGAATACAAAACTCAGTCCAGTTTATTTCTCGGATTTCTCATAGAAAAATGACCACTTTATTATATTTAATCTTAGATTCCATCTTAAAAATAATAGAAACTTAGCTTATTTTCTTCTTACAGTATCTGTATAGGTAATAACACTTAAACTTATTGGAGACAATGGCGAGACGCCGTTACTGTGGTTATTGAGAAAGACACAGATGCAACACTGGTTGTGGAAAATTGCATTTAGCTGAATGTATCATTATATACATAACAGTAAATGAACATAGATAATTATTATTTATCAGTTAGACAAGTAGGAATTTGGGACACCTAGGTCGCAAAAAATGTCCCCCTTCGATACCTACCACTGTCATATCCACAAGTTGCTCTGGACCTATTAATTAAATGAAATATACATCACCAGGAATGCTGGTAAATATATAAATTTGTGGACTGTATATTAAAATTTAAAAAGGATTATAGTATATACAGACATTTACATAACAGAAGGAGAATTAATATCACTCACCAATGTGACTAGAAATCAAGGTGTATCATACTCAGAAAACCTGTCTATACATGAAAATAACAACTGGCCAGAGTTATAACATAACAGACTTATCTGAGGTTCCTGGAGCTGTCTTGTCCAGTCGCCTGATATCTCAAGTTATGCAGGACTGCACATCCAACAATTTCGCCTCCTATTTGAGAGGTGTCAACCCAATTTTAACCTCTAGAGCACGAAAAATTCTTCCCATTACACTAACGTTGTAACCAATTCAAATTAACAATGGCGACTGTCCCTTCTCCCCAGGCTCAGTTTCCCATTTTCTATGACATAAATGTTATTAAATACAGTATGGCCATCTATATACATATAAATACTGAATTTCTGGAAAATATATACAGTATTTTCCACACTGGTCCTTATCAATGCTTCACACAGTAATGGGCTGAATAAAGCCCAATTTCGATCGAAACATTTCACAAATAAAGAAAAACGTCACCGCATTTACGTATGTTTGCCCAACGTGTAACCATACCCACACGAAACACACTTATGGAAGGGTAGATGAGGCAGTCATCGATGACAGCATCAGAGGTGTGTCTTACCCGGCGACACAAGCAGCAGGTTGCCTGGCTGTGAGCAGCGGTCAAGTGAGGTGAGGTAACAAGTATTTGTGGCTGTTTGTATGATGATAGACGAGCAAGCTGCAGTGGCGATACACAGTCGACTACACTCCAGCAACCCAGCGGCATTCAGTTTCCCACCTACACAATGCAGATAATAATATTACATTCGTGGATACAATGGACAAATAACAGGTACTTGGGAGACTGGAACCAATGACGGCCTTTCGGTCCGACCTGGACCGACTTTTTAATGGTTCAAGTCGGACTGAAACGTAGTCATAAATGCGGGTTATTTGTGTATTGTTCCAGTTATAAGTGCGGGAAATAAATTAAATAATAATGTATATGAAATTAAATAATATTAAATTATATTAATTAAAGTACATTAAAATAAAATACTTATTAAATTTATATTATTATTTTGTTCTAGTTTATTAAGATTTTTTAATAATCCGCAGCATATACACCAAGACAAGTTTATATATCAGTGTATACATTTTAGGGTTTAAATTATTCTTGACTGGTAGTGGACAGGTGACACTGTAGCCTTAATGATCCTTGGAGCAGTCGACGTGCTTTAGGCCCAATTAACCAACTACGTAACAGTAAGTTATAATACATTTTATATTAATACACCATAAAATGCATATCGTAAATGTATGATTAGTTATACTACAATAACACAGGGATATATACACAGCAAGAGGTGAATATCTCTGTGTACACTTACTAAGGGTATATCTTAGTATGCATCAGTACTCTTGTACATTAATAAGTAAATTAATTACGGTCATAATAACCTCGCCCAGACAAAAAGCTTTAAAACTAACAACCCAATTACCTTATAAACAATATAAATAAATCCACACACTATTTAGCAATACAGTTCTCATCTGAGAGGTTGTGTAAGCATATGTGTAAGCATATGTGAGAGGATGTGTAAGCACACCAGAGGGGTGTGTAAGCATATATATACGCACCCCTCTGGGTTTTCTTCTATTTTCTTACTAGTTCTTGTTCTTGTTTATTTCCTCTTATCTCCATGGGGAAGTGGAACAAAATTCTTCCTCCGTAAGCTATGCGTGTTGTAAGAGGCGACTAAATTACCAGGAGCAAGGGACTAGTAACCCCTTCTCCTGTATAAATTACTAAATTTAAAAAGAGAAACTTTCGTTTTTCTTTTTGGGCCACCCTGCCTTGGTGGGATACGGCTGGTACATTAAAAGAAAGAAAAAAAGTTCTCATCTGATAACATACAGTATAATAACTCTATGTAATAGTTTCAGTCATCTTAATATAAAAAAAATTACTTTATGAAGTACAGAGAATCATAAGATTCTATCTTAGTTATCTAAGTCTTCATAATAGAAACCATTATTAACTAACTACAAAAGAACAAAAAAGGCACAATACCATGACTGGAACAATGCACAAAACATCTGCACATAGGAGAGAGGAGCTTACGACGACGTTTCGGTCCGACTTGGACCATTTACGTGGTGGTAAGCTCCTCTCTCCTATATGCGGTTATTTGTGTACTGTAGCCACAAAACTGAGTAGTTAGTAATTGTTAACTAAGATAGTGTCAACTCACGAATTCGCTGCCTCGTCTTGAGGGGTAAAAGTGTTGCCTGTAACTTACCAGCTTGAAGAGTCTGCTTGGCAATTATATTTGAGGTCAAGATTGACCTAGGAAGAACCCCGCTGTACTCCCGACCAGAGATGAAGTAGGTACCGTGTGTGTCGTGCAGCCACGCCAGCACCACAACACACACCAGCACCCATGTCGTCCACATGCTGCACCAAGGAGCCTATCCGAGAGGTGGGATGCGTAAATAAAGAGATTAGTTGTTAACGGAGAAGTGATGGCATGATTGATAATATCTGACAAGTTGTACAAGAATGGTATACAATACCGACAAGATGAAATTAAGACACATCTGGATATCTTTATTTTAGACGTTTCACCATCCAGTGGCTTTATCAATACAAATTCCAGGACATATCTTGAAGACAGAAGAACTATATACAGAAAATGAGGTAATCAGTCCCTCAACCTTGGAGTTGGTGAGAAGAGCACCTTAGTCGTAGAGATTCTGAAGCAGAAGCAAGGAGCATTGCGCTTATATACTAACGTCAGGTGGAAAGGGGACGTATAGCAGACGAGGGCATAGTCACTGCTAGGCGGGATTCTCCAGTGAAAGTAGGTCCTACCCAAAGAGATGGGTATATAAGCGCCAGGCTCCTTGCTTCTCCTTCAGAATCTCTACGACTACGGTGCTCTTCGCACCAACTCTAAGGTTGAGGGACTGATTACCTCATTTTCTGTATATAGTTTTACTGTCTTCAAGTTATGTCCTGGAATTTGTATTGATAAAGCCACTGGATGGTGAAACGTCTACAATAAAGATACCCAGATATTGCACATATGTCTTAATTTTATGATTGATAATAGTTTGGTAGATAACAACTATCCAGGAAATTGATACCATCCTGTCATACGAGTTAGGGAAATGAAATCTTGTTAAACATTTTTTTCTCTCTGCTAGTATTTCTGGTATTTTTTCTTATTTTTTTTTTTACACAGATCGGTGTTAGAGACTAAGAACTGTTATCCTACCTCAGCTCATTTCAAAGCCCAGTCTTAAGGTAAACTACCGCCCCCCAGGATGCCACCCACAACAGTCGGCTAACACCCAGGTGCCTACTTACTGCTAGATTAACCACAGGGGTAGTAGGTGCAAGGAAACATAGCCAACGTTTCCACCCGGCCCGGAATCAAACTACAGACACTATGTGAGCTGAGTGCGCAACCAACCGAGCTACGGACGGCAGGCAAATCTTGCATAATTTTTCATACAGTCAGTATGCACTTTACATTCAGTATATACAAACAGTATATACAATCAATATACACTTTACATTCCAATGTGTTTCTCAATACTAATTTTTATATAGATATACTTTTCCAGTCTAAAAGACCTAGACGACGGGGCGATGATTACTGGCACTATTTACAGATAACTCTTGTGTTTATCTTATGCACGCGCACAAATCTAATACTAAAACTTACACTAACTCAACCAAAGTGGCCACCAAATCGTGTTCCTCTTACAGAAATATGTGCGGAATCTACTGTGAGTGTAGGCATCCGTGAGTGCTATAACCAGATTAACATCAAGAAAGTTAACCTGTCAGTTTGTTGAGGGAGTGGATATAGAGGCTTCTTGGCTGACTCTTTGCTGGATATCAAGGAGTACATATTTCGTTCATTGTCTTCCTTGATTTTTCGTGGATGTAAACGCTGACAGCAGTCCGTTGTTCAGTGGTATAATTGTTTTTATCACTCATTCGCACATGCAAATATTTCTGCCTAGGTATTAAGACATTCTGTAAGATTGTGACCACTGTAAGATTGTGACCACTGTAAGAGTGTGACCACTGTAAGACTGTGACCACTGTAAGATTGTGACCACTGTAAGATTGTGGCCACTGTAAGATTGCGACCACTGTAAGATTAAGGCCACTGTAAAATTGTGGCCACTGTAAGATTGTGACTACTGTAAGACTGTGGCCACTGTAAGACTGAGTGTCAACGAATGTGCGTAAATATAAACATAGGTTTTATTCGTTAACTGTTCCGTAGATGTCCGCACATTACAGCGCAGCACATGTCACCCAGAATAATACTGAAGCGCAGATGTGAACTTCAATGTTCTCAGATGATGCAGTTGTCAATAAACATGCGTTAAAAATATAGGTTAACATAGGCAGAGACGTTTGTTAGTAGCTGAATGCATTCTTAAGCAAGATGTGGAGAACATCAGAGTAAGATGTGGAGAACATCAGAGTAAGATGTGGAGAACATCAGAGTAAGATGTGGAGAACATCAGAGTAAGATGTGAACATCAGAGTAAGATGTGGAGAACATCAGAGTAAGATGTGGAGAACATCAGAGTAAGATGTGAACATCAGAGTAAGATGTGGAGAACATCAGAGTAAGATGTGGAGAACATCGGAGTAAGATGTGGAGAACATCAGAGTAAGATGTGGAGAACATCAGAGTAAGATGTGAACATCAGAGTAAGATGTGAACATCAGAGCTTACCGTGTGTATGGTGAAATGAGTGTCTCTCACACACTGTGAGCTGACTGAGTGCCGGTGAAAATAAGCACACGCGCTGTTTTATAACAAACAAACACACACACACACACACACACACACACACACACACACACACACACACACACACACACACACACACACACACACACACACACACACACACACACACACACACACACACACACACACACACACACACACACACACACACACACTATCGCTATCTAAACCCTGCTCCAGAGCGATTATCATACACACAACACCTAGCAGTAGTAGGAAGATAAACTTTGTAGGAGTAAGGATTAAGCAGGAGGATTAAGTCGTGGCTAATGGGACTACAGCCCTGACAACAGTTTCTAGAGATAATGTTCTAAGACACAAAGACAGTACAATCTGAGAAGCAAGTATTGGGTACACATGTAGTAAAAGGTAGTACATAACTAGGTGAAAGAATGACTTGTTAACACACGCTAGTATTATAATTATTAGAACTACTCTCAGTGTTAATGGTATCTCATTAGTATTACGGATACACAGAAGTGAATTGTATTTCTGGGACATATAAACAACTGACGTGCTCACACACACACACACACGCGTGCACACACATACACACTCGGGGCCAGGAGCTGGGTCTCGACCCCTGAAACCACAACTAGGTGAGTACACACAGCTGATCCTTGGAATTTGACTGCCTCCCCCACAGACCTCTTACCTTTTCCCTCCCTCGCGTTTCTCTCTCTCATAGCCTTCTTCCCTCCTTTCTCCCTCTCTCTCTCTTTCTCTCCCTCTCCCTCTCCCTCTCTTTCTCCCTCTCTCTACCCTTTCTCTCCCCCCTCACATTTCTCTCCCTCCCCCTTGGTCTTATCCCTCACCCCCATACTCTCTCCTCTCTCTCCCTCTTTCTACCCTTTCTCTCTCCTCTCTCTCCCTCTTTCTACCCTTTCTCTCTCTCCCCCACACCCTCTCCCTCCTCTAGCCTTCTGTCTGTGGTAATAAAAAGTAAAAAAAAAAAAAAAAAAAAAAAAAAAAAAAAAAAAAAAAAAAAAAAAAAAAAAAATGGGTGGCCTTAGAGGACGGAAACCCAGAGATCTGGTGGACGAACCAGGGACGAAAGACTGGGAGCTAGAGCTCCAAAAAAGGGAGGAAGAGTGGGGAAGGAAGATAGTAGAGCTTGGTAAGAAAATGGAGGAGCGGATAGCTGAAGAGTGCAGGAAGTGGGAAGTACAGGTCTTAGCAGCAGAAGCTAGGATACAGTGCTTAGAAGAGAAACTGCAAAGCCTGAAACAGATTAGAGAGACAAATGACAATCAGGAAATTCAAAGTCAGGCGCAGACAAGGGGATGGTAAGCAACAACGGAGACATGCCGTCAC